GGTATTTATTTATATCAAATGGCAGGCATTTTGATAGTTTCATTAGCCCTTTAGGTGACTTCGAGCCTCACAGAGGAGAAGAAATATCAAATTCGAGAGGAGGGGGGGGGGGATCAGAAGAGTGTTTCAAAGATGTGAAAGAGACAGACACAAAGGTAGAAAAAAGGTGAGGTGAGTACTGTCAAAGTAGTCGAATATGAAATGCAGTGGGTCTTAGTAGTTTGAAGTCAGAAGTCAACTGCCAGTTAATAGACCTTTTGCCGTATGAGTATACGTTGCCGAGAGTGCACCACGTGGAGGTAAGTCTATCGCACTCCCCCAGTTTTAACAAAATAAGTGGTTCTTTATCGCTACTTCGTGTTTCTATCGAGAACACCTTCTGGGTATCGTCTTACTGTGAATATCAGTTGTAGCAATATCATAATGATAGTGTCTAGCACTTGTTAAACCTCTGCTTACTTAATGCATACATATTTTCGCACCCTTAGTGTCCGGATTGTGGGAGCAGTTTGCTCTCTTCCCAACGCCACGCAGCTGCAGCCATCAATGCACTCCTTCTTCAAGCTCGAGCCCACATCACAGCCTATGAGGTTGGTACTCTGATTTGTGAGGACCCCGCGTGTGCCCTGGCCACTCGGACAATCTCTTGTCCCCCATCGACGGTTGCCGGTGGCCCCTCAGATGGCTCCTGGGTGTCCACGGGCGCGCAACTTCAGCAGCACCAACCCCTCTGTCCACTTTGTGGTGCTGGACATAGTGTGATGAGACCACGACACTCTGAGATTCAGCTCTACAGACAATTGCTCTTTTATAGGCATCTGCTTCTACCACCCTGCGACGGAGATATGAAAATTGATAGGAAATCGAGCGATTCGGAGGCTCCTTGTAAGTGATGATGGCGCCCTTTCTAATATCTGGTGCAATTTCACTGTCTTACCAGTTTTACTAATTGAAGCTGCACTTTGAACACTATTTGAGGAAACTAGGGTCAACTGTTTAAAAGTCTGACTTCCTTTATGGCTTTCTCAAATTTCGGGGCGTATTGACTGCTCAAGTTCCGTGAAAATAAAGGTCCGATTTTTTACTTGAAAATTGGTCTATATGTTGTTTGTTAGTGTGCATAAGTGTTTTTGTGAAGTAGTAGTGAATTTACCAGTTTCTACCGCCCTGGTTTGTGGTGTCACTGCTTCCAGAACCGGAAGGGGAGATAAGACCGAAAGGAAGCGATTCCTATCTAAACGTCTCAACGGTCAAGCTTCGTGGGCACTCGAGCGTGTGTCTGAGGTTGATGCTAACTTAGCGATGACCTGCTTTAATTGTTTGACCCGAAACTAAACCTCAGATCTGGAGTTTTGAGCTTTGGTTCGTCATTTGGTCCTATCAGGAGTCATCTTTACATTCAGAAACCATTCATTTGCTGCTGTTCTTAAGTTTAATGACATTTGAAAGCAATTATTTTCACTGATTAACTTCATTCACCTGTAGATTTTACTCTGAGTTCCCAGTCGCAGTACTTTATGATTTTTATTTATAATATGCCAATTCCTTTTTGAAAAAAATGCTATGAAAAGTATGCACCAATTTGACATGTTGAAATCTGACAGGTTTAAGTTGCCAATTTATCAAGAGAAGGTTCTCAAGTTTGATTATATTTAGAGGCCTGTCGTATCTCGACTACTGGTATATTTGGAAGCGTTTGAGGCATTTCTCCGTCTACACCTTCCACGTGGCATTAGTACGAGGTTTTTCCGTGTGTTTTAGCGAATCTGCTGCCGATAGTTCGTGACACTCTGGAATCAGGCCTACGTCATATTCGGCGTTACTTGGATCAGTCAGCCTTTGCGATGGTAGATCTGGGTCAAATCTTTGCTGGCTTGAGAGTTCTTCCTTCTCCTCCTCCTCATAATTCACAGGGAATTGGAAGTACTTCAACTGTGAATGCGACATCAGTGACAATTTGATTGTTTAGCTAGCGCTATCGATCAGCAGATTTGAACTTAAGCCTTGTTGTAAACTTTCTGTGTAAATGTACTATTGTGAAAATCTTGTAATTGGTAAATTAATATTTATTTGTACTTAAAGTTTGCTTTATTTGAAGAGGAGTCCGTTCACAATTTTATTGAGGGATTCGAGTTCTGTTGTTCCATCTTTTTTGCAGAGTAGGTGGCTTTTTTCTAGCATATAGGTATTGGTGGATCGATGGCGAATTCATGAGCACACTTGCTCAGAGGTTCCACGATCTCTATGTTTTGTGTTCATACGCGGACTCATCCCGTCTGGACGCGAAGAACGCGAAATCGTGTTTCTCGTGTTTACCCTCTTCCTCCAAATCTCTCTAAATTGACTATTCTTCGTTCTGACTCCTTCCTAATAATCCCAGTTTCTGCTCTTCCCATCTTCGCCCTCTTCAACGCGCGCTTTTGCCAAACCCACTTCCTGGTCTGCTCTCTCGTTAAAGCGGCCTCAAACCACCTCAAAGCTGCTGGTACTAGCGTTGCGTTGGTAGATGCCTAATTCGCGTAAATGAAGCATATGGAGGCAATCACACTATTTGTTGGTCGAATAATATTCAAGGTATTATTATTGAGGCTATAAAAGTGAACTTTCAATGACGCCTTTAATTGATCACCTTCTCGCTAATTGTTGTTTGTGAACGCGAGCAACATTGTGAAGATGCAGTCAGACGCACGGGTTTCATGGAAGCAGTTTCGATTTCGAATAGGATTTCAACCAGTTTGAATCCCCTAGAAGTGGCGCGCGCCTTTGTAGACGGGCTATGAAGTGAGGGTGCTCTAATTGGCTTTAGAATGACAGCATAACTCGGAGAAGAAGGATTTTGAGACATTTTACCGATGTCTCTTAATTTCATTTTCCTATTCCCATTTGTTCGACAAAGCTTTTATTAGCAAGGAAAAAAGGTTATTATCGACTTCCTCGTTTTCACATTCATCGCATTTGGTGATTCGACTAATCGAATTCCCCATGTAGTAGACAGTAGGAGGTTTTACTTAAACGATCAAGATTGCTCGATTAATTGAGCTTTCGTGTCAGTCTAAATGAAAAGACAAGTTGTAGTTATGAGGGGCAACTTCATCTAGTTGCTTTCTTTTTAACAATATGTCATGTAGCTTCTTTGTACTATTTTAGTTTTTTTGCGAATTCACATCGATTAGCGGCGTCCATTGCGTCGTGATACTTAAAGCGAACCCCTAACACTCTTAGTTTTACTTGAAAGCAACATTCCGCTACCACTTTTTCGGGGTTTCTTCAACTCCCTACCGAGTTGCTAGCACTCGCTGGGCGCGACGCTCCATATGAGGTGGTTGAGTTTGGAATCGTCTGAATTAGCCTCCACAAGCCCCTAATTGGAAGGAGTTGGGGGGTGGGGGGAACGAAAATGATCCCTCAGGAAAAAAATGAACTAATTAACTAATCTTCTGCCCATCGTGAATGAGCGATCGGTAAAAACGATAAGCTGTTCGGCCAGATTGTCCGAGTTCGCAGTAGAAACTTGTCTTAGTGCACTGAAACACAAGCCATTCTAAATTTCCATGGGATACTCCATCAGGGTGTAGTAACTTCGCCATTAAGCAAATTGTGCATCGATTCAATGGGTGGTTATGTTCAATATTTC